TGATCTCAAGGTTCTTCATTCAAACAGGGGAGACAGAACATGAGCTAATATATAACAGGATGTTACAATGCAAAAGACGACTGCTCTAGTATTTCAAAGGAAGTACTAAACCTTAGGTAGAATTTGCAAAGGATGCCATCAAAAGCAGTTTCTTTCCAAGTGCACATGCAGGTCAAGGGTTGGCTTGGGGGTATATTTTAGCAGAGATATTCTTGGAATGAGCTGTGCTGGGAATCCCACCTCCCAACCCAGCAGGAAGAAGTTAGGAGGTGGTGAGAGGTACTGTGCCATTCACTGATGTTGGCTTCTCTCTCTCTTTCTCTGTATTTCAGAATATCAGAGAGGATTCCTCTTTACTCCTTCCCTTTTTAAAAGATGTGTTTATTTTTATTTGAAAGGAAGATTTACAGAGAGAGAAAGAAATACAGGGAGATCTTCCATCTGCCAGTTCACTCTCCAGGTGGCAAAAATGCCTCAAACTGGGTCAGTCTGAAGCCGGGAGCCTGGAATTTCTTCTGGGTCTCCCACATAGATACAGGGGGACAAAGACTTGGAACTTTTTTTTTTTTGCTGCTTTCCCAAGTGTGTCAGCAGGGAACTGGATTAAAAGCAGAGTAGCAGGTACATGAAACAGTGCCCATACGGGCTGCCGGCACCACAGCTAGAGGTTCTACCCACTACATCTTGATGCTGAGCCCCCACACACATTGACCCCTTCTAAAGTTAGAGAGGCTAAACGATTTGTGTTGGCCCATGAAACACGCTACTCGTAAACAAAAGCTTTTCATCGTGTTGTTCAACTCAGCTTCCCTTGCTGTGGTGAATGCAGAAGCAATTTTTATTATTATTATCTAATTCTACTCAAGTCATTCAACCTATTGATATTTATGTCAAGGACTGAAAAGAGAAAGTATCAACAATATCCGAGTGATATCTAGCAGCTGCTTACGCTAAAAATTATTTTCTCCTACAAACATAAGCTCAGTTCACTAAAAACAGTTCGCTCCTCCTGCAACATTTTGTATTGGAATGCCATGGGCTCATTTACCAGTCTGACCATTTGGAAGTGTCCAGCGCATATGCAAGGTTATGCAACCAACAGCAGCATCCACTTTCAGACACAGAAGCACCCTAGGTCCAAGCAGCCTGGGGCTCTGAGTCAACACGCTGAGACCGTATCTGGATCCACAGCAGACTATAAGTGAGACATGAACCTGTACACCACTGAGCCCCTGCAGGCACGTTCAGCTAACTGCATTGGTGCTGCTTCTTAACCCTGCCTCCAGAGACTATGACCTAGAGAGACCACTTGGGGAACTTATGGTGGAGCCTCTGTAGACTCACTTGAGAAAGCTGGAGGCTGGCAGTCCTGTTGCTAAGCTCAGGGTGGCATTGGGGAAGGGACTTACTAAGCAGGGTTTGTCCTAGCAAAGGAGTGATAAGAGTTTCATATGAACCTAACAGAAGTGCAGGAGAGAGCCAAGGTGGAGGCCCCCTCAGGTCCTGTTCGGGAGGGTCACTTGAGAAAGCAAACAGACCTCGGCAGAGGCACCACTGTGTTCCTGGAAGAATGCCAGATTGAGGAACGGGGGAGGCTGTATCCAGGAGGTCCCAGTGATGAGATGAGCAACTCTGAAATCCCACAAAGCCCCTGTGAGAGAAAGCATTCATTTTTTGCATTGCTCCATTTGCTGCTACTATAGCAAGATACCTGAGGCTGGGCAGTTGTAAGAAAAGGAGTTTACTCAGCTCCTAGTTTGAAGGCTGAACATCCCAAGATCAGGCAGCCCCATCAATTCAGTCTCTCATGAGGACCTGTGCTAGCGAGCATCACCATGGTGGGAGTGCATGCCAAGGAGGACATGAGGCAGGACCCAAAGCCAGAGAGTCCCGAGCCAGACTTGCTGTTGATGTAACAACTCACGCATGCTGTAACAGGCCTGGTCCTAAAAGAGTTACTGTAGTATTTTCCCACAATGGTGCCCCCTGTGGCCTAATTACCCTCTAGTCTGTATTCTTAAAGGTCCCAGCAATATCCCAACATCATCACACTGGGGCCCAAGCTTCCAATACACAAAACCCTGGGTGACACATTGCCAAGTGCAAAGTGCATGTAAGTGGGTTATGGGCGAGCAGAGATTTCTCTACTCCCTTGCTCCTTCTCTCTCCTCCTCCTCACTCAGCTCTGCAGAGCAAGATGGGAAAGAAAAAACACTGAGGAGGAAGAGAGGGAAATACCAACCACACCTCTCTTTCCTCAGAGCCTTGTGGCCCGCTCCAGGCCTGAACACGAAGGAGACAACACATCTCCCCTTTAAGACAAAATTGTCTCCCTTATTAAATTAGAAATATAGTTGATATTTAAAGTATCCACTTAGTAACAGGCATAAATGTCAAGAGCCAGACTGAGTCTTCATCCAGAGGTAGAAGGACTGGCTACCTGACCTGGGAGGATGGAGGGGGGGAAATCAAGTTGCTTTACGAGCCCATCTCATGAATTATGCCCTCAACGCCAGGGGACAAATAAATCTACAAACATGTTCTGAGATCAGCAAAGTCACATAAAAGATGTGACAGGAGTGTTATTGCTGAAGAAACTGTGCATGAATCAAAAACAGGATCAGCCACTGAACAAGAAGAGGTACTTGAACGCTAATTAGAATGACCAGCCCGGTCCCAAGGATCCAGGTCCCCATGGATGTGGCACCGACCCTGTCGCGTTCCAATAGCAAGGGTTGAGGTGGATTCTTGAGAATGTCTTGGTGCCATGCTGTTCATTTTTCAAATTGCGTCATTAAATCCTGTTATGCTGCCCTGCATGCTGAGTGTGATGGAACTGGGCAGCTGGCTTTCAGTCCTCATTCCACCCCACTTCTAGGAGGCTTTCATATCCCAGAAAGTCTGGAAATGTTTTTAGCCTTACATGTTCTATATTCTATACAGGTTAAGTGATCAGGTGCTGGATGAGAAATGGTTTTCACCAATCAAATGCACTCAGTTGAGACTATACAGGCAAAGCTGGGGAGGGGAGGGACAGATGCTGTTTTCCTGCTGATAAGCACCGGAAGAGAGACACCAGCAGGCTTTTGTCAGGTCCCATGTTTCAGTGTCTGAGAAGCTGTGGTTGTGGCAGCAAGAGTCCTGAGCTCCAAGTCACAAGTGTGGTGAAACCTCAGCTTCTCTGATGTCCCAGCACCCAGCTTGTGTCCCTTGCATCAGACATCATTCCTGCAGGCCAGATTAGAGTCTCCTCCGACCCTTCCAGCAGATCTGGAAGCACCTGTTCCTCATAATAAATAAATCTCTTTCTTCTTAAACTATCTGGTTTCTGTTTCCAGCATTGACTGACACACAAAAGCACCTTTCAGCTGCAGTTGAGCTCTTCTTTTGGCATGGCCACAAAGAAAGAATGCTCTGTTCGGAAGACCCAAGTTGCCACTCTCCCAAGTGATCACATTCTTCAGTGAGATCTGATGCTGCCGTGTAGACGCTTTGGAAGTTCGTTGACATTAATCAGCAAGTTGGGAGCACCATGGACCAACCTGTGTTTGTCTAGCAAGACTAGAGTGAATCCCAGAACTGAGTGAATTCAACAGAGAAGAGGCTGCCTTGGCTGTCCTTGGGGAAAATGACCCACCTCGCTTTCTTTGGTGACACCTTTGCACACATCTCAACCTCCACACAGCCTGCTAGACCTCAGCCCAAATGATCACTCCCATTCTGGTGAGACCTATCTCTAAGCCTTGTCATAGACCTGGATAACTCCACCATGCTTGCCAACCCTTTTCCTCCTCATTCTGCTCCCTGCCTGGTCCCACCTGTGACAAAAAAAAAAAAAAAAAAAAAAAATTAGCATGCAGCAGAGTGCGTTGTTAGCATCCATGAAGGAGCCCTGTCGCCCTGTCATTTTGGCTGGAAAAGTCTGCTTTCACAGCGATGTACCCAAGCAGAATGTGCCCGAAAGACAAGACAACTTGTGCTTCCCTCATGCACAGCAGGGAGCCATGCATCAGAGTCAGCGCCTGGCAAGGACACTGTCTTCACAATTTTCTCTTAACCCTTCCTTTCCTATCTGCTTCCTTTGAGCTGCCCAAACAGCAGACACTTTTCATGACTGTGTCTGATCATTTTCACATTCCCAACCCCCAGCTCTGAGTTGTGCAGACAGTGGGTGCTCAACAAACACTGCTTGATTGCAAGAGCGATGGGCCGTCCAGCTCTTGACTCTCTTACCTCTCTTCCGCTTGCACTTCACACAGCAGCCACACCAGACCGCTTTGCTTCCTTGCAACCTCTCCCAGTCTACCGCCACACGCTCTTTTTGCACATGCTTCACACACACACACCTTCAAGTCACTGCTTGTACCTCTGCTTTTCCCAGGAACCTTTCCTGACTCCTGACTGGTTTCTGCCTTTTGTCATTCCCCAAACTTCCTGCATGTCCTCCTTCACAGAGCTCATGGTCCTGCTGTTGGACGACTTACTCTTCATCTTTCTGTCTTCCCCACTGTATGGCAAACTGTTTACTCTGACCACTCACTGAATGTGTGAATTTCTCTGAAAAAAAAAAAAAGACACATGACTAAGAGTAAGGACCTGGGATGGGCATTTGGCGTGGTGGTTAGCAGTCATTTGCAACACCTGCATCCCACATCCAAGGGCCTAGAATCAAGTGTCAGTTCTGCTCTCCATTCTAGCTTCCAGCTGACATCCAGTCTGGTGGCAGCAGCTACTTGGGTCCCTACCATCCACACTGGAGATTGGGATTGAATTCATAACTCCCGGTTGCAGTCTGGCCAGCCCTGGTTGTTGCGGGTATTTGAAGAATAAACAAGAGGTTGAGATCTCTCTCTCTCTCTCTCTCTCTCTCTCTCCCCTCCCGCAACCCTGTCAAATACACTACATAGATAAACAAACAGACAAACAAGCGGATAGGTGGAAATATTTTTTTTTTAAAGATTTAGGACCTCTTTCTTGGCTCAGACCTCGGTGGCGGTGAGATGACTAAACAAACCAAGAAGGTAGGGATCGTGGGCAAGTACAGGATCCACTATAGTGCCTCCCTCTGGAAGATGGTGAAGAAGATTTAAATCAGTTAGCATGCCAAGTATAGTGCTCCTTCTGCAGCAAAACCAAGATGAAGAGGCATGCCATGGGCTTCTGGCACTGTAGTTCCTACATGAAGACAGTGGCCAGTGGGGCCTGGACATACAACACCACTTCTGCTGTCACAGTTAAGTCTGCGATCTGGATGCTGAAAGAATTGAAACACCAGTAGAGGTGCCTTTTTGGAGATCTAAGCAGCCTATAATAAATGGAGTAATTTATATTACAAAAAAAATAGTTAGGATCTTTTTCTCAGTATTTGTGGGCCAGGTTCTCTTACCACGGAACACTCTAAAGGAACCCCATTCTACATCCATGTCCTTTGAGACTGGGCCACCACCACCTCATGGTTCCTGATCTGCCCCAACTCTGCCAAACTTCTGTCACACTTCAGGATCCACTGGTCTCTTACAGGTTGATTTATGTTCTATGCTGCTTTTCTTACAAATGTTTGTTTTTATCCTTTATTATGCTATTTTCAGCTCTTTTAGCTTTCTCCTGCTTTAGTACTATTAAAAAGAAAGTTCCACCATAAGAAGGAAGAGTGCTAGGCATCTGATCTAGCCTTCACCAGGAACACAAAATGCCCCATCTTCTCATGTTTCCCCCACGAACAGGTTCTACAGAATAACTTCTCTGTTCAAAGAAAACTTTCTGGTTTAGTTCTGGAAGAGTCTATAGACTAAAGTAATTTCACTAGGAGAGAGAAATGTTTCCCACCAGAAGTCACTATACTTGGTTACAAAGGAGAGAAAAATGTAGGAATTCTCTAACTCCAGCAGATCAGCGCTGCTCTGTGTGTGTATTTGTGTGTCTGTCTTCCCAGGGTTAGGGCCAGGAGCCAAAGTCCTCCAGAAAACCCTGGAAAGTGGAGAAGTTAACAAAGAATGAATGACTGCAGAAATGACAGAAAGAGTACGTGAACAGATGGATGGTAGACAAATGAACTACGGAACAATGAATGAAGCAGCGCCTACATCAATGAGTAAATAAAGAGATGGATGTGATGGGCAGAGGGTTGGATCAGCAGATGAATGGCTAGAAGAGTGAATCAATTAATGAATGGGTGATTGATTGAATGAGTGAATCGTGGAGCAAATAAATGAGGGGGCTGTTTAATAAATGAATTATAGTAAGCTCTGTAATTTGGGCATATCCAAGGCATGCTCTAGAGACCATAAACTGAACCTACACACACACGCACACACACACAGAGTCGTTAAAAACAAACACCAGCAGGCATACGGAGCAGCTCACAGATGGGTGTCCCCAGTTGAGTGTGTCACTGGACAAGTCTTCAGGGTAGCTCCTCAGCCTCACTGCCGACTACCATCAAAGCTATGACATGAGAGATGGGTGTTGGGTTGGGACAATGGTTCTCGTCCCTAGTTGTGTTTCAGGATCGCCTGAGAAACCTAGTAGAAAATAGATCAGGTTGACTTGGACTGGGAGCGGCCAGGGAAGAGGCTGGGATGCAAACAGGAGACAGGTACTGTTGGGTTTATTTGGGAAATTTTTTCAAGGCTCCCTCAAGATTCTGATGTGCAACCAAGGCTGAGAACTGCTGATTTCATGATGAATTAAATTCTGACGGGTTCTTGAACATACTCATTTAGATGCCAAAGACAGCCTCATGGGATGCTGCAAAACAATCAATCTGTCAATGTTTTGTTAACAAATTAATGCAGGAAACTCCCCCACTTTACAAAGACTATTTCATTGCCTATCCTACCCAGACCCTTGGAAAGAGGCACCCTCACCTGCTCCCACACCTCACCCTCTTGGCTGGTTTTCCCAGAGTGGAAGGCTGCCCCAAGAGGCAGGGAGCCGGCATGGGCAACAGAAGATGACAGCCTCAGAAATGGAACACAATTCTAAGAAGGCGGGAGACACAGGACAGAGAAGCCCAGTTTATGTAAAATATACACAAGTGGCATATTTAAAATATTTATAAAATTGAAGACTAGCCACTTTGACATGATGGAGACAACATAGCCTACAGGAAATGTGTCCTCTATTAAAAATGTGTCACTTAAGGCCCGTGCTATGGCTCTACAGGCCTTCAACTGTTTAGCTTTCAAGTGCCAGTTCATGTCCTGGCTGCTGCACATCCCATCAAGCTCCCTGTTTGTGGCCTGGGAAAGCAATGGAGAATGGCCCAACTCCTTGGTACCCTGTAGCCACAAGGGAGACCAGGAAGAAGCTTCTGGCTTCAGATCATCTCAGCTCTGGCCATTTTAGCCATTTGGGCAGTAAAACAGCAGATGGAGGATCTCTCTCCCTGGCTCTCATTTTCTCTGTAAATCTGACCTTCCAATAAAAATACATAATTTTTTTAAAAGGAAATGAGGAAAGGAAGGAAGGAAGGAAGGAAGGAAGGAAGGAAGGAAGGAAGGAAGGAAGGAAGGAAGGAAGAAAGAAAGAAAGAAGAAAGGAAGGAAGAAAACAGAGAGAAAGAAAGAAAAGAGAGAAAGAAAGAAAGAAAACGAGATAATGTCTCACTTAGAAGACATGAAATTTGATGAGCTTCCATGATACAAGGAAACAGCAAGATCCCTAGCCACCACCTGGCCCAACGACAGGCAGGAAGTCGGGCGCAGAGCAAGCCAATCACTTGAAACAGGGACATGGTGTTCCTGGAGGCTGGGAACCGGAGATCTGGGGAGGCACTGCTCTGCTTCAGCGGAGGGGCTGAACTTGGGCTGTCTGACAATTTTAATGCTGCTTTGCTGTCAGGCTGCCTTCGTTTGCTGGGAAATTCTTCTTTGAATACCATTCTACTAGACACGCTGTGCCAAGAAGTGATGAAGGAAAAGCTCAGAGGAAACTGAGAATGGGAAAAAGCACTCATCCTGAGCTAAAGAGTAGGACCAGCAGGGCAGAGGTAAACCGCAGGGACTGCTCACCTAGCCCTCGCTCTGAGCGAAAAGAAAGAAATTTGGGGAGGCAAGAAATCTTAACATTTGATATCTGCAGGTCATACATTTAGGGTCAATAAAAGGAAGGCCTCCTTCACTTGGCAAGGCACACACTTGTAGAATCCATCATTCCAAAAGGGGCTACTGCTGAATATATAGGGAGGGTCCCAAAACTCGGAGACCCATCTTGGATTACTGAAAGAAAATGATGCTGTTAAATCAACAACTGGGAGAACATTCTTGTTCTCACCTCTCCTAATTTTCTCCATAATACCTGAAATTAAGTCAAAGTTTGGGACTGTGGGCACTGTGGGGATAACTGAGTGAGGGGTCCAATGATCTAGGGCTGACAAGGGCCTAGGAAATAGATTACCTTCCTCCCTAATAAGCACCGTTCACAAGGCCCCATCTGCAAAAGGCCTTCCCTTTTCCAGGAGCTCTCTTCCTTTACTCCCACTGCCTTGTTGAAAGCAAATGTCCACACATCACTTACTGAGTACTTCCTTCCCGCTCACCAGATTAGAAGTGAGCAATGGAGAATTAAATATTCCACCTAGGTTCTTAAGGAGTCTATAACACATTTGCAAAGGCAGAGTAAACATGCATAATTTATTAAGCAAATGACAGATGCAGGAAGCCACCCACAGTGATTGATACACGCAGGAAGCCGCTGGGTGTTGGAGGCGGGTTAGGTAAAAGACCTGTAGGGGTTTAACCATGGCTCTGGTCAAATTTTTCACATTTTTATTTATTTAGAAGAATCACAGAGAGAGAGACAGAGAAAGAGAGAAAGAGACAGGCAGTGGGAGAGAGGTTTTGTTTACTGGCTTGTTCCCCAAATGCCCAAGACAGTCAACCAGGGCAGAGCCAGTAGCCCAGAACTCAGTCGGGTCTCCTGCCAGGGTGACAGGGATCCAGTCACTCGTGCCATTACCTTCTGCCTCCTTGTGCACACCAGAAGGAAGGTGGAACCAGAAGCAGAATTAGGACTTGAACCCCCAATGTGGGAAACAGACGTTCCCAGGAGCCCTTTCTGGGTTCCCAAGCACCCACACCTTCAGGGAGCTGCAGTGAGTGGCTATGAGCAAGGCCCTGGCTCCTGACCTACCAAGTTTAAATACCAGCCACTCCATTTATGAGCTTTGAAATTTGGGCAAGTGAACCTCAGTGTTGTCACCTACCAGCTGTGGATGGTAAAACCATGTCCCACACGAGGTAGCTAAGGGATCAGGAGAATCAGTGCACACCCAGCACTTGGAACAGCTCCTGAATTACAGCAAACACTGAACATGTAGTAACCAACCATCAGTATTTTCACTCCAGGAAAGGCCACCATGATGCAAAGGTGATTGAAAATGCAGGCTAGCAACAGCTTGTGCTGTTTGGCTGCTGCCAGTTGAGGGGCAGGTCCCTTACACAGCCTCCAGTCATGCCACCCAGCCCCACCCATGAGCTTCCTCTACCTGCCACCCCTCTCTCGCCGTGCCAGAGACACCCTGCCCTTCTCTCTCTCCCCTGAACACAACAGCAAGCTCTTTCCCACCTCAAAGTTTTCACACACGACTTCCTTCTGCTTGAAGTGTCTCTCCTCCCCCGTTCTTCACATGGCTGGCTCCCTCACATCCCACAAGCCTAGCTTAAATGTCACTTCCTCTGCAAGGCTTTGCACTGCCATCTGTATCCATCAGGGTCCTGGTGGGAAACAATGATACATTCACACTAGAATAATGCAAGGAGGTTTGTTAAGAGGACTACTCATATAAGCATGAAACAGGACAAAGGCAGATTGGAAGGGATAGGGCAGAAGCTGTCCTGTGCTAGAGGAGGAAGGAGCAAGACAGGGCATACACCCAGCCCAGGTGACCTGGCATGAATAATACTGCCAGACCAAATACCCCAGCCTCATTCTGCCTTCACTATCCCATCCCATACTGGTGACTCCCTGTGGCTGAACCCTACCAGGAACCGAAAGACAAGAGAACTCATTGGTGGCACCATTCTGGTCACCCCTCCAGAGCAGAGGCCAGCATGCAGAAGGGTGTTGGGAGGGCCTGGAAGAGATTGATGGAGACACTTGGTACACCATTCAGCCCAAAGCAAGTTCCCTTCCCAGAGCCACAGTCTTCTTTAGTCCCAGCTGGAACCATTTGAATTCACTTCAGACTGATCTCTCCCCAGGGCCATGAGCACTGGAATTTCCATGCTTATCACTGGTCACCCAGTACCTAAGCACATCACTGGTGGCATCGTAAAT